TCTTGCTTATTTCAGCAAGACAGTGTCAAACCACATTCTGCATGTATTACAACAGCATTGCTCTATATTAAGAGTCCAGCTGCTAAACTGACCAGCCTCCAGTCCAGATCTGTCACCACTGATAACTTTTGGCGCATTATGAAATGAAAAATACGACAAAGGAGACCTAGAACTGCTGAGCAGCCAAAATGCTTTACCAAACAAGAATGGTTAAACATTTCACTTTTTTAAACTACAGCAGTGTGTCCTCAGTTCCCAAACACTTACAGAGTGCTGTTAAAAGAAGAGGTGATGAAACACAGTGGTAAATATGCCCCCGTCCCAACTCTTTTGGAACGTGTTGTTGGCATCAAATTTATCATTCACTTTTCAACATTTAGTTTTAACATTTGATATGTTGTCTTTGTACTATTTTCCTTTAAACATAAGGTTTACAAGATTTGCATATCATTGCATTCTATTTTTATTTACATTCTGCACAGCATCCCAACCTTTTTTGGAAATGAGGTTGCACATCTCCACCATGCATGGACTTAAAAAAAAAAAGTTTTACGTCAAAACCTAATCTATACCAAAACCTTACTTCTGTGAAACAATGTTTCAGGTATTAGACAGTCTATTTGTAACCATTTTCATGTAATAACTTTCTATGATGTAGCTTTTAGAGCATTAAATGGTTTGGACGTCTGGTTCCCATCACCACCACTGTGAAAAACTGTGCCTTACAACTACCTACATGTACCTATCCGCCATGAATGTATTTAAAAAATACACACATGCTTTAGGGGTAAAACCTGTGATACTATCATAAAACAGTGTCTGAGGCATGGTATAAGTGATGATGGTAATGTTTGCTGCCATTTTGTGTAATTTAGAGGCCTTAAACTCTGGACGTCTGGTTCCTATCACCACCACTGTGAACACTTCTGACTGTAAGTTTCTCTAGAACAGAGCATTTCACACCAAACCACTCCGAATGACTTTGTTTACATCTCAGCCATTTAATTATGCAGAAATTTTGAGAAATCAGTGGAATTTCCCCTTTATCTTCTTGAACTATAGGTCTATTATTATTATTGAGGCCTATTAACCAGCATCTACCATAAATGATTTTCAGTAACTACTGTGAAGCTAAGCTGCAACTTTTGCAGTTTGAGTGAGGTTCTTTACAGTTTAATGGGTTAACTGGAGGTGGTGCTCTACATTTACCATTAGCACTGACTGTCCAACACTTCTCGTTTCATAGCAGGAGTAAATATTAGTCTGGTAATTCTACTGTTCAAACAGTGTTCACAAAGCATTAGTCACACTATAGGTTACAAACTGTTACCATAGAAGGAAGGTGCTGCACTTCAGACATTACAGAACACAGCAACTCGCCAGTCATTTTAATACATGCTTATTATCAAACTCTCTGTTGAAGTTGTTGTTTAGGTAATATGTGCTAAGGGGAAATTCTCAACAGAACTTTCACCTGTGCTTCTTAAGACTCACGCACATCTCTGTATCGGGGCAATCCCCGCTCTCCCCCATTTCCAAGAGAACAAGAAAAACCACACAAAAAACACAGTATGGGGCACAGTTGCAAAATTCATAAACGCAGACTTTTAAGCATGCTAGTGTTCTTTATCAGGGCAACCCCCCTTCTCCACTATTTACACAAGAATATGCACAAACATGCACAAGAAAAAACAGTACGGGGCACGTCTCCATACTGAGACTTAGAAATGTAGACATTATTATTGAGTAGATTTATCACAAAACATTTTCAGGGTGACCCAAATTCCCCCCATTTTCAAAAGAAAGCGACAAACCACAAAAAATATGCTAAGAATATATGTCTGTCTGTTAACACAGACATATTTTCATAAATGTAGACATTATTAAATAGGTTTGTATGAAAAAGCATGCAGTCATAAGGTTAGTGCATGCGCTGTCTCAGGACTTTAGAGCACTGATTTTTAAAATAATAACCACTTACTCAACTGACCCCTTTACCAATAAAACCCCCCACCAAAGAGACTGAGTATTGATTTCCTTCCTTTACAAGAAGCGTACAAGCTCCTTCTCATCTCACAATGTAAATCTTATAGAATGGGCAGGTGCATCGCAGTATCATCTCTCTAGTGTATTTAACTCTTGGGATATTAAGGGTTAACAGACATAACTATAAATAGGAACAATTTAAGTTAAAATTGGTAATGGTTAACTGACACAAGCTAACACTATTATTTGACTATATTACTCAAATGTTACTATATATTTACATATTGGTTACAGTTGTATATTGATTTTCCAAGTTAAGCAGGCTTAAACGGCATTATATATTTCAATGCAGTTTCGCTTTATTTGCCGAGTTTAACATATTTGGAAAAAAATAAAACCTAAAATATGAAATGCGCCATGACTTTTGCACTGGCCACATTTTATGTCCCCCCCCCTCTAATATTTAGCAAATAAACAGTAAATGTGCATTGAAATGTACAGAAGTGTGGTCTCTGAAGAGAACTTATTTTCACTTAGAAATTCAACAAAACGTGTAATTTCACCAGGGGTGCCCAAACTTTTGCCTAAGATTGTACATCGTAAGTTATGCAATAAACTACATTTATATTCAGTCAAAAAATGACAAAACAACACAAGCATTAATTAATAAAGTTTAGAATCTGCACTTTCAACAGACGTTCTCCACTTCTTTCAATGTGCTAGTGTTGGTGATAATTGTGACTTTTAAGGCTTAAATGAATGTAAAGTTCTACACTGATTACTTCATTTAAAGTAAATGGAAAACTACACATCAGTTCTAGTCTATCTGTCTTCACTGGCTGACAGATTAAAGGGAATCTTTTGAGAAACACTAATGAAAACAGAAGTAGCTGTATTGCACTGCAATTCAGCAGAACAAAAGGAGTATATAAATACAGTGCCAGTCAAACGTTAGGTCACAACTATTCACAGAAGGACTTGTTTTTGCACTTACAGTGAAGTCATCAGATCATCTATGAAACAGCACTCGAGTAACGCAGTGACCCTTTACCTTGACGCTGTTTTATATATTCTTGATCGTTCTCTCGAGTAGTTTCATGATGAGCCACCTGAGATCCTTTTACAACAGAACTGAGGAAGATACATGCATGCTTAGACTCTGCTGGCTACTTTCAAAAACTACTACAAAATTTACTTAACCAGCATTTCCACCGATTTGTCTGCATTAGTCATTCATGAAGATGTAAACAAAGTCATTCCATGAACTGATTCACTGTAGAGAAACTTGCCTACTATTTTCTTCACAGCTGTGGTGACAGGAAGCAGGAATTTTGTTTAGAGCCAGAAATATCTGACCACGTCAGTTGGGTTCGGACCTTGTTTTCTGGATATGTAAAAAATGGATGCAGGGGAAATAAAACAGCTTAATTTTGAACAGTTGATTATTTTAATACATATCATTTATGTTTTTATTTAAATTATCCATAACCTACAATGTCACTATACAGTAATTTAACCAGTACTATCCTATCAGGATTTACTGGACACTTTGGCCCAATCCCATTTCTTCTTTTTACCCCTACCCCTTGTTTTCGAGTGTCAGCCTAACCCCTTGGAACAGAGCTACAATGGGTAGTGGTTGAAAGCACTGCTGGGCTTTAGTTACATTTAGGGCATCGTATGCTTTCAAAGAGGGGGTATAAGACAATTATTTATTATCGTCCACTGCTAATTCTTTGGTGATACGAAGCTGAAGTCAGCGATTCACCAGGTTCTTGTTCGAATTTTCCCGTTCCACCTTAAATCGTGCAGCAGTTACGTTCTGGTGCTTCAGGCGTCAAAACTGCTGGACTATTTAAGGTGGAACGGTAAAGTTAGCTAGCTAGCTACCGAAACATTAACGTACTTTAGTGATTTTTTTATGCTTGTTACAAAGAAAACAACCATAATACATTGAAACGAGATTAAACTAAAATAATACAATGGTTATCGTAATTTTTTTAACAAAGAAAATACTCACATCTGTGGGTTTCTTTAGTCGCTTGTGCAGCCATCTTGCCGGTTTTTCTGTTTTTTTTTCCTCATAACACTCTGTTTGGAGTGTGACTCTGAAAAACCTCCGTTTGGAGGGCCATGTAGCCCTAACACTTCGCCCTACCCCTCTATCTCAACAAAAATTGGGACACCCTAACCCTAGACGTGAACGTGCAAAACAGAGGGCTAAGGGCTAAGTGGTATGGATGAGGGGTAAAATGGGATTGGGCCTAAGGGTCAGTTTTAAGTCAGTTCAGGTCAGTTTTGCACAAAATTCTGTTAAACTTGAGTCGGTTTCAGACTCAAAACTTCCTGTATGCACCTTTTCCACCGTAAAAGTATTTTAAAAATACATTTTAGTTCTAAATCTTCTCTAAAACTAGCTTAAAACGACGTCTTAAGTGGTGTATTCATAACCATCTCATGTAATAATTTTGTGAGGTAGACTTTCAAGGCATTAAACTCCTCAGATGTCTGGTTCCCATCACCACCATGGTAAACAATTCCGACTTGGTAAGTTTCTCCGATACAACAAACTACTCTTAATTGACTTTACATCTTATCCATGTAATTACTTTTTTGGGGGAATAATCAGTGGAACTCCCCATCTATTTTTTCATTAAAAAATTGTTTTCGAAATAAATTTGTTAATAGCCATTGATTTCATTATTTATATTTGTCTAAGAAACACAGTCAAGCAAACTTTGTTTGTTGCTGAACAAAATCAAAATGCTTATGAATACAAGGTAATGTTCTTGCTGTAGTTTGTTTACTGTATAATCAGAACATCAAATGAAAAAAAAAACAAATTAAATAAATAAATAAATTAACAAGCGAGCGACACTCTCTGAAAGAAAACTCAAGGTCCCATGGTCCTTTGCCCCAGTGAAGTAAGGAAGTCATAGTTTTGCCCAATGAGAGGCGGGAAGACCAATCTGGTTCGTGCCTCAAGATTTCGAAAGGCTTTTGTTTTGTGGTGAGCGCACATTGTGGAGCTGTTAACTAGAGTGCAGACAAGAGACGGCGCGGTGAAGGAAGGAGCGAGAACACGCAGAAATCAGAAGCACTGGGCGAGGCACACGTTTACAATGGGTACGTCCGCCGATGTGATATTACTGAACTTTGTGGAGGATCATTAAGAGCTGACTGTTCACTTTTATTTATTTACAACAACCTGTTTTACAAATGAAGTGATATTACTAGGGTACATGTGTTAGAATCTTAAATCTACAAATTTCCTTTTTTTAGAAATATGTAGCAAACTTAACATTGCTATGTACTGATATAGTACCATTACTATACTATATTGTAGTAATTTCGCATTATAAAACTACTTTGCTGTAGGATTTACTATATTGGCTTACTTTCTACTGGAAATGTGCTAAGACGTACAGTGGCAGATTTAACATTTTAGGTCAGGAAAGACACTCCTCTAGCCTAAGAATGGCTTTTTGAGAGCAGTAACTGATGATCAATCATGTTTTTTTATGTCAGTCTGTGACTCGTAAGTACTTTACAGTAAGAATTTTAGCTTCAGCAAGCGTGTGGTTTGAAATTCTAATCAGCAAAATAAGCAGAGCGGCACATAAAGACGAGATAAAGCGCCGGGTTGTATTGCGTAGCGTATGAGCTCGGTTAGATATTTGTGACTGTAGGCAGAACTGAGGAAGTGGTTAAGGGAAACAGAAACATGTACAGTACTGCTGCTAGCGTAAAAAACCCCGCATCTGATAAACTCCTAACATACTGAATATCCTATAAATCTTATCAGGGCTGATAAGGCTTATCTTTCAAATTACAGGGTAGAGAATTAACCTGAAGCTCATGGTGAATGGCTGTTATTTCAGTCAGGTGTGATACAGGACGAGATTTTTAAACATCGTAGTTTTATTACAGCATCTTGCTTGGGAAAAACAATGAACTGAACGAGTCTGGCTGTATTGAGCGCCTCTAATATCACAATATTCAAGCCTTTGAAATAAGTGGAGCGATTCAGCAGTTCTCCAAAAAAAATAATACAGAAGAATCTACACTGTTGCCTTTTTACTTAAAGGGAAACTCATTTTTTTAAAATGAATAATTCAACCAATGAGACGTAAACCAAGGCAATCAGAGTGATTTGATGTGAAATGAATTATAGACAAACTTCACAACTTGAATTTTCTTTACAGTGGTGGTGACAGGAACCAGGCGTCGCAATGTCTACAGCTGACTCATAACCATTGTATTCATCATCCAAAAATGACCAGTGAACCTACATAAGTCTTCTGAGTTTTTATATGTAATGGTAATGATGATACAATAGTGATAAATTTGAAAAAAAGGGTACCGTTTTGCCAAAAAGCACCTTGCATGTACCTCTTCACCATGTGTGGACTTAAGTTTCTCCCAAAACTTTAACTCCAAGTATTCAGACAACACATTCATAACCATTTTGTGTCATAACTTGACAACGGTGAGACGTTAAACGGTTTGGACATCTGGTTCCTATCATCACCACTGTGAACAATTCTGACTCAGTTCTTCTGAAACAGGACATTTCACACAAAACCACAATGACCTGTCACATCTTAACGAATATATTTATGCAGAAATTTTGAAAAATCAGTGGAATTCCCCTTTAACTCCTTCTGCAGGCTTTTTATTCAGTAACTACAATAACTTTGAAGCTCATATGTAGGCTGTGCAGCTATGAGGCTGAGTAATTAATGTGTGGGTACTTAAAGGAATAGTCCAGTCAGAAATTGGTGAACAGTGAATAGCCACCAATTAGCATAATGCAAATGACATCATATTGGCATTTCAGGCTGAGATAGGGGCTAAGTGTTCATTAAAAGGGGAATTCCACCATTTTTTTTAAATTGTGCATAATAAGGCTGCATAAGTAAATGTTTAAGGTGTAAACAAAGTCATTCATTGTGGTTGTGTGTCATTGGGAAGTGCTCCGTTCCAGAGAAACCAAGTCAGAATTGTTCAGTGTTGGTGACAGGAACCAGACATCTGAATATTTTAATGCCCCCAAAATCTCCCTCAAAGAAACTTATTATTAAATGCATTATTATTAAATGAAATGGTCATGAACATGGTGCATATTCACAAGGTATGATAGTTTATATGTAATATAATATATAGTTTACATACGTAGGTATAGTGAATAGAATGGCTATGTTTGAGCTGAAGATATTGTTTACAACTCAGTAACTGAATTGTAGTCAGTTCAATATATATTACAAGTCACTGGAATTCCCCTTTAGGTCAACAACGTAGATTCCTGTTGTGTTCACACTTACATGGAAATTAAATGTTTTCTGGCATCGGCTGACCACCGCGATGGGTCCTGAGTCTGTGGTACAGGACGTAAAATAAGAGAATGCCGCAGCACAGGAAGCGAGTGATCTCGAAAGCGCAGCGTCCTGGGTTTTCACACACAGCAATATAAGCGGATTGGAGTGAAGAGGAAGTTGGTGGACGGTTTGGTTGATGGTTGAATCTATATTTCAGCACAAAAAGTTGACCTGCAGAGAAGAAGAATAAAAAAAAAAACAGACAAACGCTTTAGTCAGTGGTTGTTGCTGACTCTATGACCAACCACTGATGGGTGATACCGCCAAGCTGTGCTTCAGCAGCTCCCACGGCCTTCCCAGGATACCTACAATACAGGATTAGACCTAATGAGTCTTGAAGATGTTTCAGTTGGATAAAGGGCCCACGTCCTACTTTAGCCTTGTATTTTATTTCTTCTCCCTGAGCTCCAAGTTTGACATTTGTGTGCTTTCCTGCACTAAAAGCAGCCATAATTAACTTTTCGTGACCACTGTAACCTCTCTTTATCCCTTAGAATTAAACAGGCTTTTTACTGTACCTTTAAAGGGGAATTCCACCAACATTTCAAAATTTCTGCATTATTAAATCACCAAGTCATTCAGAGTGGTTTGATGTGAAACGCTCCGCTTTAGAGGAACTTGGTTGGTCATAGTGGTGGTGACAGGAACCAGGCGTTTAATGCCTCTAAAAGACATCATGTGAAATAGCTGTAAATACACTGCCTGATGTCTGAGACACTGTTTTATGATGGTTCTGAGTCTTTATTAAAAGCCGTTCACTGCAGAAAGGTACATGCAGGGTGTTATAAGACAAAACTGTCCTCCAACAAAGCTATTTGTTTAGAATCACTGCTATTTTACCATCACCAACATTACATATAAAAGCTCAGGAGACACGTGTAGGTTCACTGGGGGTTTTGGATAGTAAATAAAATGGCTATATTTGTTTTGTAGACATGGTGACCCCTGGTTCCTATCAACACCACTGCTAAGGGAAGTCAAAGTCAGGAAGTTTTCTCTACAGTGAACATTTCACACCAGGCCTCTCTGAATGTCTTGTTTACAACTAAGTGACCTATGCCGAAATTTTGCAAAATCGGTGAAATTCTCCTTTAAGACTGCTATAGTAAATTAGGCTTTGTTCTGGTTGGTGGCCCTGTATCCCGTCCAGGCTGAAACCCTTCTCATAACTTCGCTGTGAATGGGCGTGGCTAAACTGATGTAGGCTAAACATGTGGATATATGCTAAAGTGCTCTTGTTGTGACATCACAAAACAGTATTCAAAACAGGCTGTTTTTGCACTTTAGTTTCCATGTACGAACTGAATGGACTGAAAAGTGAAAGGTACGACTTTAACAGTGTTAAACTACAAACTACATTAAACTCATTCACTTCAAAAACGTAAGGAAATCTTTATTTTTCCATGATATGGGCCCTTTAAATTTTGGAGATGGTGTTGTTGTATATACAGCAAGTGTTTCATATTAGTAGAGGGTAGCACTGAGCTGTGGTTTATACACACAGACAGGAAGCAATGTTGTAATCGTGCGGTTTCATATTAGAACAGTTCTCTCTCTCTCTCTCTCTTCTCTCATTGTCTCTCTGTCTTATTCTTTCTCTTTCTCTTCTTCTTTCTCTTATTTTCCTCACAGTTCTCTCTGCAAAGAGTAGGCTATTTAAAAAGTCTTCGCTTCATAACTAGTGACGTTTGTGCAGCTTTATGGACCAAAAACAGTCAGAAGTCAATGATACAGTGATCTTTCTACACCTGAACCAGCAAAAGAGAAGCTTGTTACTTTGTTAAAGAGCTGAAATGGGTGTAGACGAGGGAAAGCACAAAAAGTGCATAGTTTTGGGTCCTGGAATTGGGAACCCCTGTCTTACAACTTCTGTGTTCACCATGAATGGGTGGTGCTAAACTTCTGTGGGCTGGATATGCGGATATATGCGAGTTTGTTGTTTTTTGTGACATCACAAAAACAAAAAATACTGTTTTTGTAGCTTAGTTTGCCTGCATGTACTTGAACTGAACACTGGGAACCTTTAAAACTTTAAAAGGTGTTTACATGCTACACCAACTCTTCTATTAAAAAAAAGAGCAAGGGAAATTCAGTTTTCCATGATATGGGCACTTTAACTCAGTTTGCTCTGAAGCCCAGTGAGTCGTCGACGCCTCAAAATGGGCTTCACCCACTTTTCTTATAATATCTCTGAAAATCTTTAACCTACAGCTTTCATTCAAAGGGCGTTTGAAAGCTCTTATTCTGACGAATAGCCTATATCTTACATACATACACATTTCTGACGTCTTCATCTAGAAACACAGCCGTTTATGTTCAATAATTTTCTTCTCATACTCTCAAGTCGTAAACAGAGCATCACATTTCAAACTGAACTGTAAAAACATACCTGCAGGTGTTGTGTTTGTTCGCGGTTTACCGTGTTGGGCTGGTTCTCGTGTTTATTTCAGTTTCTGAACGTTATTTTAAGACTCCGTTATCAGAAATAACCGTCTTTAGAGTTGAAAATGGCCGTTTTTCTTCAGCACAGCGCTGCGTTTGTTATCCCGCGTGAAGGGCGCGTGATTGGCTCGCGGGTCTTTGAGCAGCGACTCGAGGGTTTCGCGCTGATTGGCTGGATTTTTGCGTTTTATTTTGAATCACCAGCCAATCAGGTGCGACCCTGCTTTAAACCGCTGTATTATGGAGTTCAGCTCTCCTTCTGTCCGGCTGGAAAATTATTCAGTAGATACTAATAAAAACTAATAAACAGTGCCAGCTTTCCCTCAGAATATATCATTGTTGAGAAAGTTGAAATAAGGCCTTTTTCAACATTCCTGAATGTATTTGCCTTGGAAATTAAGGCACTTTTTCAGTACAATAGGAGTAAGAGTGCCTTGACTTTAGTATTGGTATATCCAGCCTTGGTACCGAATAGCTCCTTACTTCCTCTGCATGATATATCTGGAATACGTCACCTATGACGTTGGGTCAGGAATTATGGTTGGACGAGCGTATGTTATACATATATACACTTGTGCATTATTGCGCTGTAATGAACCAAAATGACTACAAAGGCCTTTTCAAAAGGCCTTTCAGCTGTAGCGCTTGCACAACTATCGTACCTCCTTCACTCTTAAAAAAGATCTTCAAAGGGTTCTTTAGCAAGGATAATGGATGCAGAACCATGGACACTCAAAGAACAATCTGCATGGTGAAATGGTTCTTCAGATGGATGGAGAATGTGTTGTATAAGGTTCTATATGGAACCTTTTTGAAAATATATCTATATAGCACCAAAAAGTGTTCTTCTATTGTTACAAGCATGACATCATGACAGTAGAAGAACCTTTTTTGGGTTTTATACATAACGATCTATATGGATCTTTACTAAATAACCCTTGAGGAACCATCTTTTTTTAAGAGTGCACATAATTGGAGCTTCACGTTTTCACCTATTTTGACATACATACATTTGAAGCCCTGAAAAATTACATTTTACATTAATGACAGTGGAAAAGAGATTAGGACAGCCTACATCATTAGTGATTTGGACAAACAAACAGCTTATAAATCATGAATAAGTCTGCAATATGGAAAAAAAAAACAAGCTTGGGATTCGTGAGAAATTTTTCACTTATTGTTTGGTTGTACAACACCAGAATCACCGCAATGCTTTTCACAGCATTTGTGTTTGCTGCTTGTGGTTTTACTGAAGGCACTTGTGGGTATCTGCTGCATCCGTAAAGTGAAACGGTTTGACAGTCATATTCATGCCATTTAAAAACAGTCAGTACTGTAGGTATTTTTTACCAGAGTCTGAATTCTTAATACTTTGCTTAATAAGAAGCTTACCTTAAAGTGTGTGTTTTTTTGTGGTGCTCTTTTTTAGTGTCGGACCCTCGTGGAGAGGTGAGCGGGGCGGAGGAGCAGATAGAAGTGTGTGAAGAGACAACAGAGGAGAAAATTTCACTGAACCAGGTGAGAACATACCAGGAAAACACATCTGCAGTCTCGCTAATTCTGAGTGATTTCTCAATCCACAGCCCTGCGGCTTATCGCGGTTCTGCGTCTAGACAGTTCTGATGAGCAAATATTGTAAAACGGTTTGTGAGATGTTTTTGTGTTTAGGCCTGTCATGATCATGAGATTTTAGCTGTTGATTAATTGCCATATGAATAATTGCGTATAACAATTTCATTCTCTTTTTTATCACTTTCACTTATTAAAATACAAGCCCAAAGTGGTCAAATTGGCTGATTAGCTAAGCTTCCTAGCTGTCGAATACTTGGGCCTCATTTCATCAGTGCACTCACCAATACAACTTGTTGGCTGTGCATCCCACATTTGTTATTAAATGGTCCACAAGGAGGAGATGGGACAGTGATGGGCAGATTATTCAGATGGTGCGCATTCAGTGAGCTAATCAGCTAACCATGCAAACTTTGGTGTAACATACATAAAATTTGCTTAATCTCATCTAAAAGCCCTCACTTGAGCTAAAACAGTAATAGAACGGCCCTTAAGGTGGTGTTGGGATTCCCCCAGAGGGAAATGACAAGGCCAAGCGGACGAGGGCTTGTTAAAACTGGTCCTGTAACGGGCAGTTAGTAGCTCCCAACTGACGACAGGCACAGCTCGAGCTCAAATAAACAAACATTGCTCACCACTGCCCTCTACAAATGTTATAGCATCAGCTGCATTCGTAAGAACCTTGATGCGTCTCAATAAATGAGATTTCTTCTTTCTTATATTTGCATGCACTTGCCATGACCTAACTGATAAAAATGCACCCAATTCATATTCCGTTGTGATGTGAGGAATTATGAAAACTAAGAATGTTCAGCTCAGAAAATTTAGTTCAAGCGGTGATGAGATGTTTGTGGCAGGCCTAATTGCGTTACTTCTGTTACGGCTTCAGCGGATCTTCACATGTATTCACATGACAGAGCCGATATGAGTCAGGCTGAAATTTTCCTCTGTTCAATTGTCATTTTGCAAGAAAGAGGAGTTTTTAAGGGCAGAAAAAAACACAACACTTCCAGTAGGTTAACACTCATCACTTAGTCTTAGTATGATTACTCCTCTTGATGATTCTTTGGGTTTCAGTGTTCCCACTCTTGCTGTTTGAAAACTTGTCTGTTTGTGGGTAAATTTCTGACACCTTCATGCATCGTGCTGCTTGATCTGTCTTTATTCCATTTATTGGACGCCCACCTGAGGCTAGAGGGCCATTTTCTCATGATTATTATGATAGAAGACGGTGCTGGTAAAGGGGCCCAAAGTGGCTGCAGGCTTGCAATTTGTACGCCATGCGGTTTCGGTGGCAAAAGCATGGCCTTCCGATCGCATCTCCCTCGACTTTCGCTCTGAGGGTGCTATTGACACGTCCACGGCCTGCGGCCCACGCATGTTTGCGCAATGTGAATGGGGTGGAAATTTAAGAGATGCTGCTTACGGCAAAGTCTGTCATGTCAGCTGGTACACGCTCTGTTTTTAGTTGCGGTTTCGAGTGGGGGGTGGGCGGGGGGTCTGTAGTCGGACAACGAGCTCCTTCCTGTTTGAAACCTGGATGTAACATTTAACAGCTTTGTGGTCTAAATATAAGTGAAATAGTCTTGCTGAAGTTCAGCCACAGCCGAGGAACGAGCCACTACAGCAGGTTCACACTGGCCCTGGTTATATTTTAAGGGAACAGCTCGGCGAAAAGTCAAATGTACACAACTCGCCCCTAAGCTCAAGTGTAACTGATCAGCCAAGGCATGTTTAGTGTCTGACATTTGCTTCTTTTGTTGTGTGCTGGAGCCGCGAGGCTAATGCAGCTAAGAAGTAAAGGCAGCCAGTTGTTCAGAAATTAGCACTGCGCTAATTGCATGACTAAATAATCACACATTTGCCTCAAACCACACTTAGTTGTTAAGTAAACTCAAATTAGATTTGCGTTTGTGATTTCTGACTTACATGACATAGTGTTATCCAAAAAATGGACGAAATACAGCCTATAGCTATTGTTTGTAGCAACACTATTTTGTCCATTTTTTATATAGTTAACAATATTAGATTTTTGTCAAGAACTGTTCCTTCAATACTGTAGTTAATCCTCATAGCTAAGCTCTTTTCTTGCCTATTTAAATTGCTCCAGGAGAATCAGATTCCAAGAAAAGCCCAAAAGTACAATCTTCCCCGAAACTGCTTTCAAAGTTGTCAATTTCACAGGAAGTGTTTGTGCAGATGGCAGCCTTTTAAACGCTGCGGGTGAAATTTCAGTGAAGATGAGTCAACTCTGGTCAGAGAGTCATGCCATAGAAAGAGAAAAAGATATGTTGAGGCTAGGCTGATAGAAATAACTTCCTCCTTGATGATGTAGGCTTGAGAGATAGTGGATGCGTTGATAGTTTGACTCATTTAGGGTTACCCCTTTGCGGCCTACATCTGCAATATTATTCCCTTCACAGAATAGAGAAGAGATTTCATAATTACTCATTCCAGTACACAGAAACAGGGGCCCACATCTTCAATATTACTCAGTAGTGCCAGCAGGGACCTAAATGCTCAATATTAGTCATTCAGAGGCCTGCTTCTGGGAAGCAGTTTGCAGGCTGAAGAACTCAATTCAGCCTGAAACCCTGTGACTGAACCGTGTGCATCATATACATGAAGCCCCAGCACAAGCACTGCAGACGTCAGATGGAAAGTCAAGGGTTTACTGTATATCTGAGCTCTGTTGACTGGCCTGCTGTAATCTGATTCCTCTGACTGATGCAATGCCAAGTCATTTTGGCCAAGATATTGTCAGCGTACTTTTTGAAACTGAAATCTTGCTTGAGGGTTTAGATGTTGGCCACCAAACAAGCAAACAAACAAATAAACCAGCACAAAAGCAGACAGTGACACAAATTACAGCATGTAGCAAATGATAACTGTAATACGCTACATAATAAAGAGTGTAATACGGTAACTGAATGTCACCTCATTGAACACTCTGCGGGGGAAGAATAAAAGTCCATCACTGAATCATTGAAGCAAATGAGAAATGGCAGTACCAGTAATCATTTACATTTATAGTGTATGTTTTCCCACTTTTGTTTCACTTAGCCAGGTGATGGGTAATATAAAAACCAAGCTGTTTTGGTAAGTGATTTAATTTGATGGCAGCAGAACTTACAGTAAAGTAAATTCACTTCCTACCCTGCAGAAACGTGTACAGGAGTGGAGATTCCAGGCCAAAACACAGAACTGACCCATGTGGCTTTTGGTGTTTTAGCACAGCTAGCTAACTGGGCAGAGTACTCACAACCTGGTTTCTGTGAGTCCGTTTAAAGGAATACTTTAGCCAAAAAAATCATACGTGGACATGTTCAGTGTTTCATGTCTTCCTGAGCTACAAGGCTAATGTAGCTAACTAAAGGAAGCCGAGCCATCAGCCCAGATAGCAAGAGGATAGCAGGCCACTGCTGGCCCGCTGATGGCAAAGCTGGCAGCCCACTGTCTTTTTGTTCAGGGTTTTCCAGGCTGCCCACCCGTGATTAAGCAGACATTTGGACAAAATGTCACTTGGCATCGCTCATTTTGCCCTCACTGTCAAATTTACATGTTTTTCCTTTATTTCTTTATTTCATTGCCTATTTTTACTTTGTGAATTAGTTTAGGAAATTATTTTAACAGCAATATCATATATAAAGCTGGTTATACAGCTGTAACCAATATAGCACAGCATCAGCAACAATAATTTATATTAGGCCTAGTTATTAATTTTTTTTCTTTCAATTGTTTGTTATAATTATCTTAGTTTATTTCCAAAATAAAAGGCTACGCACGTTTAAAATCTGTTTGAGGAGATTAAAAACTGGTTAAAACTATTATTGTATGCAGAACGATAATCTGGGTGTTCCGTGGGTGGACCTGCGGTGGCATACAGTTTTTTTTAGTTTTTGACATAATTTGAAAATGCCTGCTGCCCTTTACACTGCATGTAAAGTGAATGATGAATGGACCAAAGGAAATGGCCCAACATAACTTGGAAATAAGTCTGGTTACATTAACTTATTAAGCATTAAGAGTAACTTTTCTCTCCTGTAAAGTTATTATTTTGAAGATACAAGGTTTGTTCTGACAGCAGCAATATGCTTGCTATCTGGGAATTAGCATCATGCTAACTGCATGCCTATCATCACACCACATAAGCAAGTCTATTTAAGATTACGGAACAACTTAACACAGTTTGAAGTAAGAATGTTAACGTTTAGGCATGTTTGCCTGATGCTAACTGGTGCACATCTGCTCCCATTGTTTAGCTGCATTAGCTTCTTAGCATATATGAAAAACTAAGATGCTAAACATGTTTTGGCAGGTCGATTTTGTTTGGATAAGAGGAGAATTGTGTAGAATTGACTTGGTTTTTTGCAAATTATTCATGTAACATACAAATGGGCCATTGTGAAGCTGCTGCAGTTCCCTGCTTTAAGGATTTTGATCATTTTTTCTTGGTTAGCTTAGGAGACTTAACGATTCTCCTAAAAGGTCTTAGGAGAAATTGCATTAGACAAAAATTAGACATGAAATACAGGAGAGATCTATGAGAAATGACACTTCATTTGCAGATGAAGATGAGTGTTGTTATCTTTGCAAATCTCAGCACAGTATGTGTGAGATCTCTACACAAACACAAGACGGGACACGTGAGATTGCTGAGCTCTTTGGCTTAGAAGAAATATCTCAGCAGCAGGAGAGACTTAGGCAAAGTCTTTCCGCCTGGTCTCATTGATACATCAAGGAGAGATATTTAAGGTTTAAAACATGCTGATCATTCACCAATCCATAAAGTCGCTACAGGGAAACGAAGGAGCAAAAACAGCCCGTTTTGAATTCACTGTTTTTGTGATCATAGCGTATATTCACAGTGAAGTTATACGGAGTGTTGTAGCTCTGAGTGCTTTTTGAATGAGGCGCAAAACAGGATGGCAGATCAAACCAGAGCTCTCAGTGTTAAAGGCCCAGCCTGTTTAACTCTAAGGGATTAAAATAGAATGGAAATGGTCATGTAAAATTTAATTGGGAATGTTTTTGGTACATTAAACCTCAAAAAATGTTATACATGGGAAAGAAATGAGAAAACAATAATACTGTAGGATACGGGCTTCACAAGGAGATCTCATTTTTGATTTGTCATTCCTGTGGGTTGTTATGAATTGCTGGAGCTAATAATCTGTTTTGCCATCTCACCCACGGATCCTCTCTCACTTCGTTAAACGTTTGGAGCGGTTAAATGTGTGATTGATCCTATGACAGTTGGTGTGTTTTCTGCTGGGCTGTTTTTTTTCGTTTCCTGCTTGTGGCCTGAGCTTCAATGGGCTGCTTTATCCTGTCTGTTTATTTATCTCACTGGCATTTTTGACACTTCCACTTTGATCAGCACACAGCTGACAGACTGATAAATGTCTGCTTATTTCTGCACACACACACACACACACACACACACACACACACATATATATATATATATATATATATATATATATATATATATCCCTTACAATTACACTGGCTGCTTTTGTTACTGTACATTTAAGACTGATCTACGCAAATGCAGTCTGTACTGATTGGCTGCTCGGTATTGTGCCTCATTCCAAAAAAGCACTCAGAGCTAAACTGCAGTAGGCTGAATAGGTGGATGTATGCAAATGAGTCGGTTCTCATGACATCACAGAAACAGTCAATTCAAAACAGGCTGTTTTTGTAGCTCAGTTGTCATTTATGGACTGGATGGACTTGGAAGTGAACGGTACGTTGAAGTGAATGTTTAAGCAGTCAGATATGGTTGTCAAGCAACATAGTAACTTGGTGTATCAGTGCAGAATTCACTTTTATACTGAATATTTAACACAGGCTTTGAATGGGTGACAAATTTTACAGACAAACAGTCACCAGTGGTCTGGCCTGTTAAAGCTTCTCAGCAGGCTCTGAAAACAGTTACTGTACTGTGCTGCCAACCACACATCTCACTTCTAGATTCTTCTCTAAATTGAAGACAGTGTTAGACAGTGCATGGCTCTTACAGTAAGTGTCTCCTGTTTGTGACGCTGTGCACCGGTGCATTCCTGCTGAAGCTGAGAGTGCAGCTCACTGCACAGACTCCTGTGTGAAACCCCCAGCAGCCTTTCCGTTTCCCTTCAGACAGGATGGCTGGTTACTTATTGAAAGTGGTGGTAAAAACCTGCCGTGTTTTCGTTTTCTCACTCTTACTATGACTGGGCCCGGAAAGAGGAGGCACGAACCTATATTCACCTGTAATTTGATATGAGGTGATGAGAAAGTGAATCAGATTATTGTTGTTGTCGTTATTGTTGTTGTTGTTGTTGTTGTTTAAATCAGACTGTTTACATGAAAGTGAAATTTGACAATTACTCAAAGCAAAATAGATATTAATTCCAGGACAAAACATATTGTTCACATAGACAATATGTTACTCAGGTATTTTCATACATATATGAGGGCAGTTTAGTGGAAAATGAAATTTATGACATGTATTGTTATCTTGTTGTAGGTAAAAAAGTACAAAAATATCAGACTTTCAAAATAGATGCTACTACTGTATTTCTTTAGACAACACTGTCATACTGTGTCTGAAACTTAATTAAGGGTGCACTTCACTGAATTTCTGCATGATTAAAGCTTTAAGATGTAAACAAAGTAACTGTAAAGTGGTTTGGTGTGAAATGCTCCTTTCTAGAGTAGCTTAGCGAGTCAGAATTCTTCACAGTGGTTGTAATAGGAACCGAAGGAGGAGTTTTAATGCCTATAAAACCTCTCTTATAGAAAATTATTACATCAAATGGTTATGAATACGCTACCTGATGTCTGACATATTGTTTTGGATTGATATTGAGATAATATTTTTTATATATATTTTTAAAATCCATTCAAAGTTGAGTAGTACTTGTCCCCCAAGAAAACTACTTTTTACTATTCTACCTTCAAAAACTTTATATATAAAAGCTTGGGAGACACATGTAGGTTCACTGGTTGTTTTGGATAGTACCACCACAACTGTAAAGAAATTTGAGTGGGGAAGTTTCTGTACAATGCAACACTTCACATCAAAGCACTCTGAATGACACTGTTTACATCTTAAGGATTGAATTATGCAGACGTTTTGAAAAATCGGTGGAATTTCCCTTTAACAAGTCAATGCTATTTGAGTCAAGCCTGTGATGATTTAGGCCTGCAGTTTCCATGATGCCAATTTGTGGAGTTTGAGCTTCTATTACTTGTTAGCCACATTTGCCTTGTAGCTCCACTGCTAAGCTAAAGAAGCAAATATCAGACACTAAAAGGTCTTGGCTGATGGACTACATCTGGGGTGAGGGGAACATTGTGCACATTGGATTGTTGGATTGCATTTTGAATCTAATGTGATTATACACTGTCTTAAAATGGTCAACAATCTTTGGTTCTTTTAGTCCAACAGGGAGATGGAGAACCCAGAACAAACCAACAGCAGCACAGAGGAGTCCAGGACTGGTCAGTCGGAGAGTGAGGAGAGAGCCTTCGTCATCAATTTATACCATTTTATGAAGGAGAGAGGCACGCCCATCGAGAGAATACCTCACCTGGGCTTTAAACAGAGTGAGTACAGCAATGTGTGAGGTTCATTTCATCTACAGAACAGCCTAAAGGTGACCCATAAAAGAAGACTCTCCGAGAACATGCTTACTAGCAAGGGTGGTTCTTCAGATATTTCACTTAAGGCAGTTCCAGCATTTCATCTCAATAGCACAATTTAATAAAAAATCACACCAATATTCAAATATACTTTTATATTATTGTTATTTGTGGGATGATCAAATAATTGGTCATTACCATCACTGTGTACCATCAGCAGTGGTCACCTTAAATATATATATATATATATATATATATATATATATATATATATATATATATATATAAACATAAAACTAGTCTTTACCAGCTCTATATGTCTTTACCATCGCTACCAGCTCTTACTTTACGGAATAAAAGCCATTTACTCTTGGACCTAAAAACCCAACTAAATAGCTGCCATGTCATACCTGATATATATGTAAAAAAAATTCTGAATGAAATTTCTCCGACTGATTTGGTTACGATGCTTAATAAAAGTCCTTTTAGTTCATTAGGTATAAATTTTAAGAACTGTGTTACACTTGTATTACCAATTTGTACATATATATAGTTTTAGTTCATTGTGAGAAAATAGCAGATGTTTAATGAATTTAACACATTTTCATGTGTAATAGAGGAGAAATTCTCTGAAATTCTGGCACAATTTACTTTTTTTTAACATAACGAGTAAGAAAACATCATTAATGAGCTATTATTAAAAAAATGACTAATTAGATCTTGGTTGGTTTTAACATAAAAATAAATTAAGTAGACTTTTTTTTTCTTTGAGGGGATCTCAATCTTCCCTTAAGCAAAGAATTGCTCCTATATATTATATAGCAGCAGGTACAGCAACTCACAGTTCAGTTGGTAAATTTTCTACTTAAGTAGCAATTAATATTCCAAACTTTTATGTCAGTGAACGGCCCCCAGCAGTGGGAGACGTAAACCTCTGACTGTTCATTATGACATTTAGGCTTTTCTGTCTTGCAGTCAATCTGTGGAAAATCTACAAAGCCGTGGAGACACTGGGAGGCTATGACTCGGTATGTGCGCACACACACTCACACACACACACACACACTCACACACTCACACACACTCACACAATCTCAGACAAGCTATTTCACAGCTTTGCCACCTCACATAGAGTAGCCTAAACCCATACACCAGTAAAAGTATTGTTACAACAACAAGTGTTAGGGTAGAAATATATTACATAAAATTACTTACATTTCCCATATACAACATATATATATACTTCTGACATGCTATAGAACTATTGTCTTTAATAAAGAACCTTTAAAGAACCATATTTGTAGGAATATATATATATATATATATATATATATAATATATATTATATATATATATATATATATATATATAATATATATATATATATATATATATATACATGTGTCTATATAATATATAGTATATACATAATATATATAATACATATGTCGCTGTTTATATATATATATATATATATATATATATGTGTGTGTGTGTGTGTGTGTGTGTGTGTGTGTGTGTCATAACTGAAATGCTTAAATATATATAGAACCATTGCCTTTACTAAAGAATCTTTGAAGAACCATCTTTTTATATATATATATATATATATATATGTATGACATCATTACACACACGTATATATGTGTACACATAAGGATAGGTGGGAGTCAAAGAGAGCGAGGGTAGAGACATATAGATAGAGAGAGAGAGAGAGAGAGAGAGAGAGAGAGAGAGAGAGAGAGAGAACCATCTTTTTTATAAGAGTGAGGAAGTGAAGTTTGTTAGGCTCTATTCTTCTCTTTTTGGGATCCTTTTGTTCTAAAATAAAATGCCAGAGCTCCAAACTGAGAAGTGTAAGCAACAGCGAAGCAGTCCAAGAGCTGAACCAACAGAACAGAAAGAAATTCAATTTAACCAGAAAAAGAGAATCAGTTACTCAGTATGGATGACAAAGTACATTACCTTCCTCACAAACACACTTTTACAAGAAGTAAAAGTACCATCTTTTGAAAGTACCCAGAGAAGTACAGATGTTACGTAAGTGCAAGTAACCGAGCTGAACGGAGCTAGTTACCACTCACATCTGTAGTTACTCTGCCTGTCTTCACCATTCATCCCTTTCTGACGCAAACAATGCGTTATGTGGCAGTCCGCAGATAGCGCCTAGTCCATTCGCATGTTGTGCGATAGTATCACACCTTCTGCTGCGGTGGAGCTGAGAAGGAGGTCACAGCAATAGCTAGACCGTCTCTCAATGGAAACTTGAGCTGGCTTGAGCTCATCCCGAGTTCACTTGAAAGCAGTGGCTGTTATAACCACAATGAGAGCAGAGGGGGTCCATCGTCACCCTCAGCCAGCCAGCCCAAAGCTGCAGGCCTGCTACCCCCTACTCTGCTTTGTTGTCCAACAACCAAAAGTTTCCACTCGTGCTGTGTGTCCTTGCACCTCCATGTGTGTGCGTATGTGTTTGTGCTTAGAGTACGTATCAGTGTACCAACAGCTTGACCAGTAAGGCTTTGGTCTGAGGGTCTCATGTGATGTGAAGTTTCTTGTATAGTGGAAAACGACACTTAAGTATACAGTAAAAAAAACACCTGGTTATAATAGTGCAAGGCTAAATAAAACTCAAAGACACAAATAAGTTCTTGCTTAATACTTGAATAATTACTTAATACTTACATTTAAAGGTGCAGTGTGTGAGATTTAGGGGGATATATTAGCAGAAATGGAATGTAGTATGTTTCATTAGTGTATAATTACCTGTAACTGTGGATTGTTGTGTTTTGATTAGCTTAGAATGAGCCTTTCATATGTACTAAGGGGACGGCACCTCTTTCAAAAGAGGTCGCCATGTTAGGCCACCATGTTTCTACAGTAGCCTAGAACGGACAAACCAAACACTGACTCTAGAGCACCTTGTGTATTTTTACTTTGAAGTGGCAGCTTCAGTTTGCTGGCGCTATAGCACGGCTTGGAAGACTCAGAAAGAAGAAGAATCAGTGGTTGCTGCCGGTGCTGGCTAATCTTTTTTGTGTTGTGAGAAATTTGAGAAACCAAATTTTGACAAATACAGGATCAGACTTATTTTTTAGTACACAAAAGAGCAATCCCAGTCATCAAAGAAGCGAAAACATAAAGAAGCGAATTGTTGTAATCAGGATGGGTGATGGCAGAAAACCTGATGGGCCACCGTAGGTTCTACTACACGCTTGGAAAGGGAGGGGTGAGGGAGGGGTATTCAGTCAATAGATGCCACTAAACCTTACACACTACATCTTTAATTACTTACATTTCTTAGTCACAATGTGAAATCATGACACCTTTTTCTTCCATACCGTGACATACTTCCATGTCAAACATTGTATCAGGAAGCATGTCTGAACTGGTTGAGCAGAAGTACACGTCCCAGACTTTAATGTTTTTCCTTCATGGGGACTTTCTTCCACCAATTTGAGCCATAAATTTCACTTGACTGACTACATGAAATGCAGAGAAATTACATATTAACAAATCTGATTAGCTGTTGACTAATCCTCAACTCGGTGATCATAGCAACAGCTAAGCTTGGGCACGAGAACAATGTACAAGCATTGATACAAAAGCCAAGAGGTGGGCTCCTGGGTGGTGCAGCAATGTTAACGTTGGCCCCGTTGTTGAGAGACTGTCAGTTTCATCTCCAGTGATGCCACAGTCATCTGTAGCTGGGAGTCCAAAAGAGCATAATTAGGATGCATCACTAAGCACAGTGCTAGCCAACCTGTATCTCTGTTAGCTGATGTAACAGAATTAGCAGTGAGCTTGCTAGAGGGAGACTTAGCTTGCAGGTGGAATCGGACATGACTAAATTAAAAAAGAGAGAAAAAAGTGAGAAAAACATTTTAAATTAAGTTTCCCCTAAAAATGTCTAAAAACAAAATTAGTATATTAAAACAAAGAAACTGGAAAAATCTAATAAAAAAAGAAGGTGATTTTGAATAAAATTGACATTTCTTTGCCACTAGTGATAGCCAGGCACACTTGACCAGCCAAATGCTGCCCGCTTGCCTTTGACAAACCTGAAAACTTTCCACTCCCACACACAGACACACACACAGTCTTAATATGGTATGAGTAACAGGGGTTTACTGAAGTAGATTATATGAATTACTAACGTGCATAAAAGAAATCGTTCTTTCTTCAAGTGGCAATCTTACAGTAATCTTGTGCATCAAACAACATATCAAGCACTAGTGATGCTTCAGCCAGACCGTTATCAAGAGAGGAAAATACAGCGTGTATGCCTGTGTGAGAAACCTTGTGAAACTTATGGTGACTAATTATGGCGATTCAGTAGTGGTGCGCTATGAGTAACAGGGGCTTGGGCTGATAACATTAATCACGCAATTCACTGCTCTGAGAGAACAGGTATCACAAATCGTTACTTACTAATACTGATAGCTCCAGCAGTGAGAAGGTCTATTAAAAACAAAACAGTTTTGATTATATCTCGCTATTCTCTTCAGGGATTATGAGGCATTATGAAACACTTTTACTTGATATCTCAGCCAAACTGGGAAAGATCTCTGATTACAGGTAAATGTGAGGGTTCTTATGTGTATATGTGCCTGTGTGTTATCAGGTAACAGCTCGGCGGCTGTGGAAGAACGTGTACGATGAGTTGGGTGGCAGTCCAGGCAGCACCAGCGCAGCCACCTGCACCCGCAGACACTATGAGAGGTAAGATCAAATAGAGCAGTGCTGCTGGTAGCCTCGCTTTGCTTCATGCAGTCTCACAGAGTCACACTTTTGACCACAGCCTAAAGTCTGAAACAGCTCGGTTTAGGTGATTGCATTGCAGGAGGAGCCATTGCAAGGCTAATTGTAAAACTAATCACAAACGAGAGTCATCATTCTGATTCAAAGCCTTTAAACAAGCAGCCAGAGTAGCCACAGTGGCTGTAGCTAATGTGGAAAATTCATATGAAGACTGTAGGGAAGAAGTAGCAAGAACTGTAATCAGAAACACTTTTGCATGCAAATCCAGACCAAGACATTATTCTGATTTATATGAAATTTGTAGGGAAATGTGCACAAATAGCGAGGACTACAATCAGGGGGTCAGCAGGCTCATGCATAAAGCTATGTCAGGAACAATAAAAGCAAATAACAATAACATTTAACACATAAAATTACAAAAATACCCCAAACACTAAATAAAAAATCGAATCTACCACAGTTTAATCTGACCAGTCTTTACTTCGTACATTACCATGAATAAACCATAGTAAACCAGTTACAACTGTCCTCACAACAAAAGCTGTTCCCAAAGGAGTCACTGACATTCATTGCCTTTCAAAGAGACACTAAAATTCACACGAGCAACTACCCAGAACCACCTAAGCTGCGTGCAAGTTTCCAACGTTTGCTGAAGGAGATTCGATACAAGACATTTGATATAAGATTTATACATTGGTAATTGGGATTGCTTGGCTTGTGAAGAAGAACATGCAATCAGTGTACTTTAAAACTTCCATCCTTTTCTCCTAAAAGAGGGCTGCAACCTATGAGGCTTTTGGTTTTATCCATACACTGTGTTTGCTGCATCCTTGAGCAAAGCTCTTGGGGCCTCACTGCCTCAGCAGTGCTATAGCTCAGTCTTTTCCCCAACTCTTGTCATGGAAGCCAATTGCCCTGCAAATTTTAGTGCTTCCTCTGCTTTATCTGCTTTAACACACACACTTTAACTCAGTAAGAGGTTGTTAATGCACTGATTAGTTGGATCGGATGTGTGGGGGAGCAGGGGCAACAGTAAAATATGTAGGGCAATGCGGTTCCCTGATCTCTATGCCATCCTAACCACAAACTCTTAGTGTTCATGTACATGTCTTCAGTCTAGAAAGGAAATGGTGTAAATGAACTTGACACCTGTGTAAACTCTCAGTTTTGACATGCTGTTGACAGTTTTCATCAGTCTTTGTGGTACTGATGCTCCTGTTTCTAGTCTAACAAAAGAGTACATAGCAACTGCTGTATTACCTTTCACTCAATATACAATTAATTTGAGTTCTCTGCTGCCATCTACTGACGGTGCTGGTTCAACAGCAGTCGCCCCATGCAAGTTTCATTTTCAACCATGAGTTTGGTAGGAGGAGTTTTCTCATGCAGACGTTATAGCATGGCCATCTGCCCAGACAGTCTTATAGAGCATATACAATGCATAAAAAGAACAAGAGTGAGCTAGAACCTGCTGTCGAAGGTTCTGTACCATTCAACTTTGTTAGATTCTCTGGTCATGGTTGTGCCTCTCTTGTTTCTCTTACCAGGTTGGTTTTGCCTTTTGAAAGGCATCGGAAGGGTGAGGAGGATAAGCCCCTTCCACCTTCAAAACCTCGCAAACAGTACAAGAGGAATGATGAGAGCAAGGGCAGCAAATCAGAGGGCAAGAAAAGGCGAAGAACAACAGAGCGCGATGACCTGGAGGTAAAGCAAAGATACTTATCAAAGTGAACCGAAGAATATGCTTTCTGAATTCTGTTCTAGGCTCAGAGAACATTCTCTGTATTATTACTAAGAACTGTAATCGCTGTAAAGATGGATTCTATACTTGTTCCACATTGAGTTACCTAAGGTACATTTTAATATTGAAGACAGATGGACAGGAGTATCAATGTATCAGTGGTAAAATTTGAAAGTAATAGATCCCTCCGTCACCTGGAACAGGACAAGCCTTTTTCTGCACAAAAATAACAAGAAGATGGTGTAAAGGCTATTATGAAAAAATAGGTTCAGAGTCTATTGTTACCAAAACATTTTTATTAAAATGGGAAATTGTGTTTCATAGATATTGATCGCTAAGGAAGGCAAATCTAGATAGTCTAAGGACATTGTTGAGGATTGTGATCCATTAAGAATTCCATGCTTGGGGACAAGCACAACTGGACTAACAATCTGACCCTTGCTGTGAAATGTGCTCTGTGTTATTCCCAGGAGAAGCTCAGAGCAGATCACCATTGCGAGAGGGGAGTACATTCTCACACCAGTCCGTGGTCCATGTCTTCAGAGCATCCTGAGAGTGACCGGCTTGCGCAGGGCTTGCTCCAGGATGCCTGTCCCAGGGAGAAGCCCCTCCTCCAGCCCTTGAGCCCTGCTCTGGTCATTTCCCCTCTGGAGAAGAAGAAGCGTCTGGCGCAGGCCAGCCTGAGTGCAGTGCCCTCTGCTGCTCTGGAAGAAGGAAGTGAGCCAGAAAGACCCTCGGTGATCCAGCTGTCCCACTCTTCCACTTCCCAATCTCCAGCCCGCATCAGACACGCCTCCGATGGCTCTCCTCTTCCGCTCTCCTCTCCCTCTGCTTCCTTCTCCCGAAGCCCCTCACCCTACTCTGTGTCCTCTGAGGACTGCGTGGCCGTCCCAGCGCAGAAGAGGACACCAGCTCCTGAAGTGGAGAAGCAGCAGAAGCCGACACAGTTCAGCACTCTGCCTCACCCCGAGTCTGGCAGCTTGCGAGTTTGCAAGCCCTTAAGCCGCTATCCCTGCCCCAAAGAACTTGCTGCCATTCCCCGCCCAAATTACCGAGACTTCCTGCAGGTCAGTCACACACATCCGGACAAAAATCAGAGGAGCTTGCCAGCTTGGGCCGTGGAGACCAAGGTCGGAGGGAGGCAGTCTGCCCTCCGGATACCTGTACCTGCTTCCATTGGCTCAAGCTGCTGGGTGCCCTCCGCTTCCAGCTTTACCAAGGTCCTGCCCCGGAGACCTGTTTCACTACAGCCACTTTACAAATCACACCATCCCCAGACCCATCCCAAAAGACCTAGCAGCGCTGAGGCCTACATCAAGAAGATTTCCTTCGTGGACAGAGAGGACAAGGCTAAGATGGTGGTGCCCAAGCCCTTGCCCAACCAGTACCTTGTCCACTCACAGGCTGGACTGCCCATGCCTTACCTGCTCCCGGCCTTCGAACGGGCAAGAGTAGATGCAGCAGACCAATGGAATAGAGTAGACGCAGTGAAAACTCTCCAGCCTGTCCTCCTCCCTGCTCATCTCGCTGTCCCACCGTCCCAAGCCCATCCCACACATCCCCTACCAGTGGGATCCTCCTTCCCTGGACCATACGAGGCAGCCCTGCGCTCATATCCTTATCCACTGCCCCTCTGGCCGCCGCCTGCCAGCTACAGTATGGCAAGCCTTCAGCCATATTAACCTTAATCTTTCAGATCAGGACCTGTTGCTAATGGTTGCACTCCGATGACTTTGATGAGCTCATGTTCATGACGATGTAGCCATGACTAAAAAGGACAGCTTGGACGTTGCCTTAGGTGGAAAACGACAGTGGACAATATTGTATTTTGGATCGCTTGACCACTGTTTCTACTTTTCCGGTTTTAAACAAAATTTGTCACCCCAGCATAAAAAGTACATTTATTAATATTAACTGCAGTCTAAAAGATCTCAATCTGGAACACACATGGTTAGTCCAAAATTGAATAAATAAAAAAAAAGATAATATTTCAGTGGTACTACTCAAATCCAAATCACATTTTTGTTGGCCTCCAGCATGGCTGGTGGTTATTTATTTACAACCTAATACATGTGCCACCAATATCTATGTATTAATGGACTAAAACTCAACTTGCATACTAAGGACCAAAACCAAATGCAACTTAAACTAACCAGCAGTCGTGGATTCATGGAAGAGACTTCTTAAGTAACTTATTTGTTACCTTCCCGATTAAATGTCACCATTTAAACAAATCAGCGGCAATGTGTTTTTTTTTTTTTCTTTTTTACATGTACATTTGTAAACTGTGAATAAAATACTTTATTTTCTAGAAATTAAATTTGATATGAAAGCCATTTCAGATTTGACCAAGCTGTTTTCTATGAATGACCTCAGTCAAGAAACATGCCCGCTAACACTAGATTCATTTATTGTAAAGGATCTTCAGAGATAAATACAGAACACTTTAAACTGAAGCACATTATTCACGTTTCAAGTGCTGTGAAGCAAAATATTACGTACTGAATCCCACAACACGGGGAAAGTAACAGCTGTCAATGTCATCTACAAAGTAAAGCAGAGGCAACCTGAACATGGACAGTATCTTTTGTTAAGAGGAGTAGTATGTAAAGGAATGCCACATATGCAAGTAAGAGGTAAAATATGCACTTAAATGGAACATTTATTGTATTAAATGGGAATGGAAGTAATTGAAGACTGCAAGCTAAAATATAAAGTCCTACACAAGTACTTCTTAGATCTGTCCTTGGTCATTTATGAGCTGGTTTCAGGTATTCAAAAGATAAACCTAAATTGTGGAGTGCATAGCGGAAAAAATGCCACAAGCAAGCTGGAATGCAACATTCCTGTTTCCAGAATAGGGAACTGCAAAGTGGTCCATGTCTTGGTATATACAATACATAAGTCCCTGTATATTGCAATTCTTGCATATATTTATGGAATAAGGAACAGCTAAGAGGTACGTATGGAATTAATGAAACTGGGCATGTTCAGGCTGCCTAAATGATGCAAAACAGCCACTACTTAATGGGGCAGTTCATGAGGGACGAGTTTGTAGTAAGCACCGCAGGATGGGCAGCGCTGAGCCTCTCCCTGGTGCAGCCAGAACCACACCACAGCCGTGTTATCCTCCTCACCTACACAAAAAGATCAGAACAGGGAGTCATGTGGGGAGGGGGTTCCTTGGAAGATGGAATAAATGCTGGTCATGTAAATATAAACAGTTGTTTTATAAAGGACTATAAGTAGCAGCTTTCCAGTTAAGATTTACATGGTGTCAATTTTTTATAATACTTGCAAAAATGCACAATGAAATGGCATTCTGTATTTTCCAGCTATGTGCAAAGCCACAGCACCACATAAATATTGGTACAGAAATTAGTTTTAAAAAGAAAAAAAAAGGTTTAGTGGTAACCCAAACTGCTTAAAATCATAACTTACAAACACAGCCAACGATTCTCTTGTTAGAGATGGAGGGCACAACATGCGGATCTTGCTTAGTGCCTGCATATTCTTTAGGTTTCAAGATGTTGTAGGGATCCTGAGAAAAGAAGACAGTGTGGATTATGTTAAGGAGGTCATCATCTGTGCATACAATATAAATTTAAACACAAAATGTGTCGATACTCACCGCCCCCTTTTTGGCAGCACTCAGCACAATCTTTTCCAGTCCAGTGGCCTGCTCCTCATCAGTCGGGATTCCTGTGTGCAGATATTGAAAGAAGGCACAAATGTAGGTTGTGTCACTGCAAACACTGGCCAAAACGTTCAGCCAAAGGCAGATTGCTGCATATTGCTCCATACTGGGGTGCAGAAGCAATACAAATCCATATTTTATAAAACACACACGCACACCAGTACAGTAAACACATTCACCTGTATAAAGCTCTGCAGTTTTATGAAAGCGCTTTGTCCAAGAATATGTTTCCCCAAAGGGGAGGGTATTATTGCAAATAACCTCACATTGCAGTCACAAGAACTGTAGATCCATATAACCGGGATGTTATTCGGGATAGTTCTATTGCTCTAATACAACCGACAAAGAAAAAAAAAATAGAAAAAGAAGCCCTGAACATTGTAAAACATGCTTTAATACTGGCTATTCCTTCAAGAACTCCATGTGTGGCATTCCAGCAGAAAAAAGCAGTACTTGTCCAGCCAGAACCATTGTAACCAGGTTCTGCTCAGCTTTTGCAATACTTGCTAGATAAGTTGGTTCCCTCTTTGCAGCTCTAACAGCTTCCACTCTTCTGCTTTCTACAAGATTTTGGAGAGTGTCTATGGGAATTTTTGCCCATTCATCCAGAAGAGCATTTGTGAGGTCAGACACTGTTGAATGAGGGGGCCTGACTCACAATCTCTGTTCTAGTTCATTGCAACAGTGTTTGATGGGGCTGAGGTCAGGGGTCTGTGCAGGCCAGTCAAGTTCTTCCACACCAAACTCACCCAGCCATGCCTTTATGGACCTTGCTTTGTGCGCTGGGGCTCAGTCATGCTGGAACAGAAAAGGCTCTTCCCCAAACTGTTCTCACAAAATTAGAAGCACACAACTGTCCAAAATATCTTTATGTGCTGAAGCATTAAGATTTCCCTTCACTGGAACTAAGGGTTCTAGACCAACCCTGAAAAACAGCTCCATATCATTATCCCTCCTCCACCAAACTTCACAGTTGGCACAATGCAGTCGGACAGGTAATGTTCTTCTGGCATTCACTAAACCCAGACTCTCAGACAGAGAAGCTTGATTTGTTACTCCACAGAATTCGTTTCCACTGAGTCCAGTGGCAGTGTGCTTTACACCACTGCACTCTGTTTTTTTTAGCTTTGCCCTTTACGCACAGAGATTTATTAAGAGTTAGAGAATCTGGAGAAATGTTATGAAATGAAGATGGTAAAATCCCCAAATGTGTGCATTAAGAAATCAATTTCTGTGTTGCAGACATCAAATTTGGAATTGTTTGTTGGATTGTTTACAGCAATCAATAAGGTTGACATGGTAAAATATTAAATCTGCTTTTTTCAAATACATTCTTCAACTACAGACAGTTTACAAATCACTGCTTTCTGTTTCTATGTACACTTTACCTACCACCTCATCTTTTTTGGAATTGGGTTTATAGTTTGTATTTCATGTTGGATAGTAAATAAAATGTCTACAGAGTCATCACACCCTCCGGTTCCGATCACCACCACTGCCAAGAATCTGAGTCAGTTTTTCTCCAAGAATTAATTTCACATCAGACAACTTTGACCTTGTTTACATCTCAACGACTGAATTACGCATCGATTTTGAAAAGTCGGTGGAATTCCCCTTTAGGTGTACAGACAAAAAACCCACATTAAACAATTTCTAAACACCAGTGACTTGCCCTCACACATATTGACTCACCACTCAGATGTGTGTCAGACCTACGTTACGCAAGTGGCCACTCACAGCAGAGGGGGAAGAGCGGACAGCGGGGAGTGGATTATTCAAACAGAACACAGTGAGCAGCCTAAGTGAGCTAATCAGCTAGCCATGCAAAGTTTGCAATGAAAAACGTTTAAGAACTTTGAACATAACGTGAGTAATTGCCTTGTCTGGCTATAAACTTAGTGCACAGCCATGCCGTTTCTTTTTGTTCTTGTTAGCCACATAGCCTTTAGCATGTTAATGAGTCAGCAGAGTAGTTTGCAACCTAAAGGCCTTATATTTTATAAACAGCTTTGTCCGCCATTATTTTGGGGTTTGAAAAGGGAAATGAGTCAGATCGCAATGTTTTCTGGGCAAGTTCTTCTGCTTAAGTCAACACTGGTGTTTACTCGATCCCTCGCCCCACAAGGGGCTCATCTAACACACTCTACTCAAGCTAATAAAGTAATGAAGCAGCTCTTAAGATGGCACTGGGGATCCATCATATATGTATACACCTCACATATATGAGAAAAACTTAAATTAGTTAACTGCCTAGCAATTCAATGGGCCAGGGACATTTAGGGGGTGTACACAGGACAAAACCTATTGTTTTTGGGATATTTTTCTTAACCACAGGGTGCTGTTTTCTCAAACGTTGTTCACGTTTTCCATAAAGAAGAACAGCTCAGACCCAGGACTCAACCCAATAGTATCCATCCACAGAGCCGCAGCACCACAGCTTCAGCCCCCACACTTTCAGACCTATACCTCTGTTCAGAAGCAATTACAGCTCTCATGAGTACAGCAAATGTAAATGGTGCAATGAACATCTTTATTAATCTTATTAGATGAGAGAAAACATTTTAACAGAGAAACTCTATTTACAGTAACCTTTTTGGTTCTTTCTGTACTAAAGTATAATTTGGTGCAGTGGCTTGCCACACGTTTAAATTGTTCACTTGCGTGGTCAATCTCCCCAGCTCGACCGCACCACATACATGCTTTTATTTCATGGTCATTTAGGCTGAATCACAAAAAAGATCCCTACTCCCTATGTAGTGCACTATGTAGGTCTTAAAAAATTACTCCGGCACCCAAACAATAGGTCTAACAAAGAACCATTTGAGATTCAGCCGCATGTGCACAATTTCCTACAGCTGCGGTCTTCAACCCTGGTCCTGGAGAGGAACCTTCCTACACAGTTTAGCTCCAACCTGTGTCCAATAAGCTGCCCCACCCCTTACTTAACTCTATTACATCTGATCCAGCCAATTAGGGATTTGGAAAGAGGTTGATTAGCTGCAGCAGGTGTGGCAGATTGTGGTTCGCGCTTGGAAAAAAAAAAAGGTTCTTCAAGGGTTCTTTAGTAAAGACAACGGTTCTATATAGAACCATGAACACTCAAAAAACCATTTGCATGGTGAAATGGTTTTTCAGACTGGTGGACAATGTGTTGTATATAGTTTCATATATAACCTTCTTGAAAGGGGGTTCTGCTATCATCATGATGACAAGCTTGTAAACAATAGCAGAACAGCCCTTTTTGGTCCTATACAGAATCTAAAAAAAATCATATACAGAACCATCTACAACACTCTCCACCAATCTGAAGAACCATTACACAATGCAAAGAACTCTAACTGTGCAAATGGTTGTTTTGAGTGTTCATCGTTCTATCTAGTACCACTTTCATTACTAAAGAACCCTTGAAGAACCACTTTTTTAGAGTGCTGGAACTAGGTTCTGTGGGAAGGCAGCACTCCAAAACCAGGCTTGGAAGACCACTGGTTTATACGATATATACTGCAATATTTTTGTGCGTATGTCCACATTTCATAACTGACATTTGGGACACAGCCATAGTGTTTAAGGGTGTCTAAGTTACGCACTGCCCTCCGTGCCCTCCAGGTAATGAACCACAACGAACAGTAAGTTAGCTACTAAGCCTCTCGACCACAGCAACATCAGAGAGTGAGGGTCTGGCAGTGGGGGTCTGGCAGAGCTGTCAGATAAAGCTCCACCGGGTAATGGCGAACTACAAAATGACGGCACCACCTCAGAGGTCAAGCCGGCAAATGAGCTCATTTGCCTAGTTGTTATCTGTATAGAAACCCAAAGGCTGCTGAAAACACTGACAGTACAGGCTTTAAGATCTACTATAAACACAGGGCGGCTGTGTTTGACCGAACCTGGCTGAACTGAACACCCAGCGTCCTTCAGCTGAAGAGGTTAGCCAGCTAGCTCGGTTGCTAAGGTAACGCCACTCTGTCCACACTGGCTGTATTAGTTAACACATAGTTAAAAATCACCTCCAGACGCCATTCCCCGAGTCAGAGCCTGAGCCTGGGCCGGGAGAGCCCGGCTGGTAACAGCAGCTCGAACCGCAGTTCGGAGGAGAAACCTGGCCGCCATTCCGCAGAGTGATCCACTGTCAGTTCGCTGAGGAAGCTTATCTGACTGCCTTCCTTCAGAGGGAACAGCGGACTCTGCTGCCCCTGCCGCTGGGAGGACTGCAGTAAAACACAACCGAAGGCAGAAATTACACGCTGTGTCTAACGAACGCTGATTATAAGTGCGGGTGAGTGACAGAGTGCGCGAGTAACAGTTATATAAATAAATACACATGAAAATGACAAAATACGTATTTAAAATAATGAAGAAATTAATACATTTGCAAGAAATTATTAGTAAAAAAACATATTCATAATAGGAAGGAATTATTTATTTAAATTATTTTCTAATAAATTAAAATTTAATATATTTCTTACGAGTGAATTAAAAATACTGTTTTTTGTAAGTCTGTTTATTATATAATAATAAAAATATGATAAAACATATTAATAAAGATATATTCAGACCATACTATTTATTTTATTTTATTTCTTTATTTATTCATTTTTATTTTCCTATAACGATAAAATTATGTACTTAAAAAAACCTTGTTTATCATCCATTTTATCGTCGGAAAAATAGATACAAATATTCAAAACATCCAATACAATTACATGCCACTGTTGACATCCGTCAGTGTTTTGCAGAACATTTCACGCGCTGCGCAGCCCTCTACTGGGGACTTGCGTCCATACCGCGCACTGCGCAGATCTGCGCAGCCCCAACCTGCTCGAAAAGAAGATGACATCACATGAACGCGGGTCTTTTGGCGCGAAATGTTCGTGCCGAGTGTAAACAGCGCGGTGCGGAGGGTCTGTCGGCGAACGGGTTACTTTCGCTGTTGTTTTCCGCGCTTATCTGCTCGACCACTCTGCTGAGTGGTCCCGGTTCCCTAACGTGCTACTTAACTGTCGGTTTTGGGTATTTAAAACTGTTAAAGTCAGTCACCGCTCGGTAGTGTTTGTGCTAACGCGCCCATTAAGCCGTAAGGGACTGTGCTAATCGATTAGCATCGCCGCCATGGCGGATAGGTTTTCGGACGCTGGTGATCTGAGCGGAGAAGAAGAGAGCCAGGAGGAGGATGTTATGACTCCGGCTGAGCTGATCGCCCGGCTGGAGGAGGTGGGTGGGTGGAGCAGGAGAGCTCCTGAAGAACGAGAGCTGTTTGTTTACCTGTTACCGGAGGAGATGTTCTATCAGACATGCACTCATATAGCAACAGTAACTTATAGGCAGGGCATAACCTACACTCTTAAAAAAAAGATGGTTCTTCAAGAGGTCTTTGGTTCTTTACTAAAGATAATGGTTCTGTTTATAACCATAAGTGAAATATAGAACCATTTCATGCTTAAATGGTTCTTTGCATGGTGAAGTGGTTTGTCAGATTGAAGGTGGATGTGTTGTATATGGTTCTGTATAGCCCCAAAAAGGGTTCTGTTCTGCTGTTACAAGCTTGACATCGTGTTACTTAAAACAGATGGTGCTTCAAGGGTTCTTTAGCAAAGAAAATAGTTCTGTATAGGACCATGAGCACTCAGAGAACCCTTTGCGTGATTAAAGGGTTCTTCAGATTGATGGAAAATCTGCACGAATGTGCTATAGACGGTTTTATAGAGAACCTTTTTGAGGAAAGGGTAATATATAGTACCCAAAAAGGTTCTGGTAAGCTTGACACTGTAACGGTAGTCGAACCTTTTTGGTTGCTATAAAGAACCGTCTTGAACCATCTACATTGTCCATCAGTCTGAGGAACAATGTCATGGTGCAAAGAACCCTTTAATCATGCAAACGGTTCTTTAAGTGTTCAAGGTTCTATACAGAACCGCTTTCTTTACTAAAGAACCCTTGAAAAACCATCATTATTAAGTGTAACGCAGAACACTTTTTGGTGCTATATAGAGCCGTTTTTCAAAAGGAAAGATACCTAGAACCATATACAACACAGTATGTATCAACCTGAACAGCCAATCCACCAGCCATTGAAGCATGAAATGGTTCTATATTGAACTCATGGTTCTAAATAGAACCATTATCTTTACTAATAAGTCCTTGAAGAACCATTTTTTTGTGTAGTCTCAGGCTAAACTGCAGCTCCAGTGGTGAAACCCCATTGGAAATGCTCACTCTTTATGTCCAAAAGTTTGTAGACACCTTCCTGTCCAGCGTTTCTTCAGAAATCAAGGGTAAAAAGGCAATGAAAGGGGAATTCAACATATGTGTGCTTAATTAAATAGTTGAGATTCAAACAAAGTCATTCAGAGTGGTTTGGTTACATAGTTAGAATTGTTCACAATGGTGGTGATAGGAACCAGACGTCTGAAGCATTCAATGCCCCTAAAAGCTGCCACACAGAAAGCACAACATAGTTATGAATACAGTAGCTGAAGCCTTTCACCCCTTTTACTCCCAATTTTGAGAAGGTGGAGAGGTACCTGTAGGGTGTTTTAAGGGAAAATAATTCTCGATAGAAAACTTACGCTGCGTCCAAAAATGCATACTACTATAAGATACATACTAAACTTTCTAATGGTGGCATGCTATTTAGTATGGTGCTGTGCGGGTTTGGATGCAGCCTTATTTTCTTCAGATTTTAAAAGCCCAGAAGATGGAGGTAGTACTGCTCTTTTTTGTGATCAACTTTTTAATGCATTTTACATTAAGTTTTACAACAAGGGTGAGAAAAGGTAAGGGGTAGGAGAAGCCAGGATAGTGACATACATTTAAAGGAATACACACAAATCAAGACAATACATAAACAACTCCACAACTGAACAACATTACGTAATAAAATTGGAAACCAAAGCTCTTGAATAGAGTCATATAGATTCTCCCAGTTTCCTATTGTTGACTGTTTTGCCTTGTTTAGCTTTGCTGTAAGATATTCCGTCCGAACAATACTTTGAAAGCTAAATATCCAGAATTTCTTAGCTAAAAGCTGTTGAGCAATCCAACATTGCGAGAGTTTTCTTGGTAGCTGTAAAACCTGCAGTCAGCATCTTTCGCTGAATCGAAGAAAACTGAAAAGCTGAGTCGTCATTTAAAAGTATTGCTCATTTTTAATGGAAAATAAAATGGCTATATTTGTGTTGTGGTTTTGTTCACCACAACTGTTAAGAAATCTGTGTCAGTAAGTTTCTACACAGTGGATCATTTGACATCATTTGAGTGACACTGTTTGCACATCAGTGGTTTTTGTTGAAAATTTGAAACTCTTCCTTTTTTGTCAGCAATTGATGCACCTTAACGTAGCTGAATTCACTATGTGAAAGGGGTGTCAAAGCTTTTAGACATACAGTCTGCCTGGTTATGTTATTAGAGAAGGACTTTAATTTTCTCCTGTACCTGCTTTGTGCGAATACTTCTCCTTGTTGACAGGCTGTTCTTCTGTTTCAGGCATGGCTCAATGAGAAATTCTCCCCGGAGCTTCTGGAAAACAAATCCGAATTGGTGGAGTGTGTGATGGAGCAACTCATGCACATGGTATGGAGGGATGAGTGGGATGACTGGGATGAGGGTGTTTTGGTTTGCTGCATAAGCAATCTGTAATGTACAGCGCAGTGTTCTCGAACTGCAGGCCTGGAGGCCAGGATGTTCCAGGGCACATTTAGCTTCATTTAAATCCATCATGCTGGTGAAAGTGCTGAAAGGCAATTCCACCAATTATTCAACATTTTTGCTTAATTAACTTGTTGAGGCCTAAACAAAGTCTTATTTGTTAGGTGTATAATACCCCTAAACGCTTCCTCACAAAGTTATTACATGAAATACTTACAGATATGCTGCCCAGTCCCTGAGGCATTGTTTACAATAGTTTTGAGACAAGCTTTCATACTAAAACATATATTTAAAAAAAAGATTCATTTCAAAGAGATACAGGTAGGGTGCTGTGAGGCAAAATAGTCCTCAAAGAAAACATATTTTTCTGATTTACCACTATTTTATCATGATCAGTATTAACTCACAAAGGTTAAGCTTTAGAAGACGAGTGTAGGTTCACTGATCATTTAGGATAGTAAATACAGTGGCTGTATTTTTGTTGTAGACATTGCGACCCTTAACTGTAAAGATAGTGAGTGAGTTTCTCCACAGTGAACCATTTCACATCAACCACTCTGAATGACTTTATTTACATCTCAAAGATTGAATTACGCAGACAAACAAAAAGGTAGAATTCCCCTTTAACTGCTCAAATACTCTGCAGATATTTTGCAGGGTGTCATATGGTTTCAGTAACATCTGAGTGAGTTAGACTCATGTTAAGTATCCTTAGACAGTATGATGGGTAGTGATAGTCCCAAATAAGTCTGCTTTCTCAAATGATTTTAGGAGGAGAATCTGCAGCGCGTCAGGAAAGGAGACCTGAAGGCCAGCGTCCACCGCATGGAGATTGACCGCATCCGCTTTGTCCTGAGCAGCTACCTCCGCTCTCGACTGCAGAAGGTACCTGAGAGACAGAAGAGGATGGCTGCTGAAAGTGCTTAAGGAATGATTAAAGAAAGAAAAAAACAACACATTTACACAATTTTCCCTCATTACACGTGTAGTTGATCAGCCAAACTGCCGAATCCGACTCTCCACACATCACAGAGGCATTTGGGCACTGCAGATTACATTTACAATTCCTAATTTTTTGCATTTATAAATAACTCTTCATTTTAAATGTATGAACTGAAGATATATGTTCATGAATAGAAACAACAGAAATCACAAACATCTAATGTCTTTAGGTCTGAGGGATGTGTATGCAAATGAAGATGCAGCACAAAGGCACAACTCCTGTTGTCTGAAGTGGCTGTCCGCTGCGTTCAGCTACACATAGAGGTTTTGTTCATTTTTATAGTCCACAGTGAGTCACGCTGTCCTCTAAACAATTTCACTAACTCTATGCAACCATAAAGAAGCCCTGGATGTGATTTGAGTGGGCGGAGAGAAGGTTTTGGGTTCTATTTGTAGAAATGATTTAGGTGACTGTTGACATCTAGTGCTTATTAGCAGCATTAGCCTTGCAGCTATAGTCTAAGTTTAAAACTAAAGAAACTAAATTTGGGCACCATGCTTTGGCTGATCGACTACATCTGGAGTAAGTGGAAAATTATGTAAATTGTAAATTTTCTCCAACCATTCCTTAACAGTAACACTAACAGTAAGCTATACAGTGTCAGAAACCACATAAGTAAGCAGTTAGATTACCCGAAGGCACTACTGAGGCAAGTGTGTGATGACTTGTGCCTTCTTGGTCTGGCTACATTTGGTGAACAGAAAGTTCATAGTATAGGGAAAATGGAGGTTTTGTCTCCCTGTGTTTGGTAATGTTTTTCTTTGTAATTCCTTCCTGTAGATAGAGAAGTTTTTCCCTCACGTATTGGAGAAAGAGAAGTCTCGGGCAGATGGTGATCCATCATTTCTTTCTCCTGAGGAGTTTGCCTTTGCTAAAGAGTGAGTGTCTTGCTTGTCCACACCAGCCACAACAATGGCTTCCACAAGAAGACCTATGAACCAGTCATTTCTGTTATCATGATGTCATGGTCCACTGTCCGTAGGTATCTGGCTAATACAGAAGTTTACCTGAAGGCTGTAGCTCTGAGACACATGCCTCCAAATCTGCAGAGTGTTGATATGCTGAAAGCAGGTGAGCACAAAAGACATGAGATTTGAACAGTTACCACAGTAACCTGGACATGCTAGTAGTAGAGTGTAACTGTTTCAGGGGAATTTCCACCCAGACATAGTTAGACACAAAGCCGTGCTCAGAACCGTTTAGATGAGTGGTGTAATGACTTAGGTGTTCACTGATAGGCAGATTTACTGATTTACATTTGCCTGACCTTTCTGACCCCTAGGCTTATTTCAAAACCAAAGAGAGTCCAAAAACTAAATATGGTTAAAAATCTCCATAGAATCAGCCAAAAGAATGGGTAAAAACTAAATCATACATTACTTGCAGGGGAAATGTAGCTTAATTTGGCAGCAGCCGTGAAGACACCGAAAATTAAACACTTATCAGCCATGCCAACAAATCGCTGCTCGTATCTCGTAGTTTTGTGATTTTTCAGTTTTTGACATAATTTGAAAATTCATGTTCGTAAGCTTCATGCTGAATGGGCCAAAACAGGGAGATATTTATTTTCTTTACAGTTTTTTTTTATTTATTTTTTATTTTATTTAAGGCCTTTGGAGAGTATGCAGTGGGTAGTGCTTAGATTGATTGTTGATAACACAGGCAACATTAGCACGACAAGAAAGTTACATGAACACAGTTGTACTCATTCTTGGCCACCGTGACCGCAACAAAAATCCTAGTGGAAAAAATCCTGGTCCTCTGACACTGCTGCTGTGTCTGACCTGCTGTCATCTCAGGAGGTTTTTATGTAATTCATAGTCCTAATTTAGTGGCACAACTGACGATAAATGAAATTAACCAGCCAAGTCCGCCTCAGCACAGAATGGCACAATGCCACGGTGGGAAACTCTTTGGCCCCACAGTGGCACAGAGGTTACTGTCTCCTCTATGCTCAGAAGCTCATATAACGCTGCCAAAAAACATGAAAAAAATGCTGCTTTGCTTTTGTTCACTTTGTTTCTCAGTCTCAGGAGTCTTAGTTTATCTTAGTGTCAGGAGGACTACTAAAATATTTTGATATCTTTGATTATAACCTATTTACTTATTTGTGTATGCGCAGTTCCTGAACCCTGTCTGGACTCATTTGTTTTTCTGAGAGTGAAGGAGAGGCAGGAGAACATTCTGGTGGAGCCTGAGACGGACGAGCAGAGGTAGAGTTCTTCCCAATATTTAACCTTACAGCTACATTTTAATGGTCATAAAATTACGCTTTACTCATGATATTAGGCTGTTTTTGATTTGGCTTTTGGATTTCTTTGATTTCAAAAACACTTTTATAAAAATAGTTTGGTGAAAAGTCCAGTGTACACAACTCTCCCCTCACCCCAGATGTACTCAATCAGCCAAGACAGGTTTGGTGTCTGAAGTCTTTAGTTTTGCACTGACGCTGCAAAGCTAATGCAGTTAACAAGTAATGGAAGCTTCTAACCCAGCAGTTAACATCATCCATAATGCATGCTTGAATCATCACAGAGTTATTTCAGATTACATCAAATTGTTGAGTAATCTCAAACAGACTTGCTTACAGTTGAAAAACTTTAAATACCCCCAATTAAATTACATGTTCATATTTTTTGCGTGAAAATAATTAAACTCATTATCTGCAGAGAATACATGTAAATATAGTAGTGCCATGAAAATATTGGACAGCATTTTTGGATTAAAGTTTTTTATTAAAAAATGAAAAAAAAGTTTAAAATATCTTTAAAAAAAAAAAAACACCATAGAAAATTGAGTATTATTTTCACAAGTTTTAGGGGTTAGGGTTTGGGACAGCCGCTTCCCTATAGAAAGTACTCTATAAATTACGATTTTGTTTATATATATATAGCTTTTTAATGTCTCTATTAATCCCTTGGGTTTAAAAAAGTCATAACATATTCCTTGTAAATATTTAAGGTCTGAATATTTGATTGATTTTTTTTTTTTAACACAGTTTGAGCTTACTACACAGTGTGGTAGAAAGGTCCATATAGCACAATACTAATGAAGGAATGGGGTTCTTTTGGTCACAGCCTGTATGTCATATTGTTGTCTAGGAGAAAGCGTAGAAATATATAGCCTAACTAGAAACAAGCTTTTAACTATGCAATATGGCTGAATATAGCCAAGCCTGAATTCTGCAGTATGGATTTTGAGTCTAGTGTGTGATGATTTAGGCCAGGGATATCAAACTCAACCACTAAAAGGGCCATATTAAGTTATCACAGCAAATCCATGGGCCAGCTGTTTTTTTTTTTATTTTCATTTTTACTTAATATCTTACCAGGACCTGAACCGACCATTGTTCATTCAAAATATGCCAAAACTGCAACAGCAAAATAGGCACTGAATGCTTGTTCAAAAATAATTCTAAATAAAAAATAAATTGTTTAGGTTTTTTTTTTTTTTTAAACTGCCCGTTTCCTTGAACTAGACATCAGGCATCTTTTCTTTTTGTGTGAGTGCTGGTCCATAGATTGTTGTGCATGGAAGGTGGTCAGAACACACACTTTGTTGCAGTGCATGCTGGGGACTGTAGTGCATCTCATAGAAAAGAACATAATTTTCAATAGAATGGAAAATTAAAATCATTTTACTGAATAGTACTGTGTCACGGACCTGACTTGGCCTTGTGTTTGACACATGGGATTTAGGCAGTCGGTTTGCATAGTGCTAATTGTTGGGGTACAACACTTGTTAGATACATTAGCCTTTCAGCTCCAGTGCAAAACTAAAGAGGCAAACTTCAGACACAAACATAAATAACTGACCACATTTAGGTGAGGGGAGAATTTATGGTAATATTCTAGTTCTGTTCTTGTTTTGCTAACTATTCCTATAAGTAATAAATCTCTCTCTCTTTCTCTTTTATATTTTATTTATTTATTTTTTTTTTAAGGGAGTATGTAGTAGACTTGGAGGAGGGCTCCCAGCACTTGATGCGTTATCGCACTATAGCACCTCTAGTGGCCAGTGGTGCTATACAGCTTATCTAGAAGACTGGAAACAAAGCTGCTGATGTTTTCCTTCCTCTGTGGTGGTTCTCCATTCATTCTCTTTGTTCTCTTTTTCTTTGTGCTCTGTTGTGTCATGCCCACTGGCACATTTGGGGCAGAAACAGTTCCAGTTATGCCTCAGCAGCTGCTTGTAATTATGCCTATTTAGTTTTGACAACTAGGCCTGTTGTTGAGGGGCAAAATTCCTGCTCCAAATCTGTATTTATGCTGGGTTATTTCTGTGTGTGAACTAGGCCATCCCCAAAAACATGCAATAATGAGAAATAGAAGTGGCAGTGGCTGTGTTCCACTTTGCAATGCTGTACTGTAAGTCTTACAGTCATGTACATGTAGTACCATTATAACTTGGTTTCACCCTCACTGCTAACACAGTGTTGCTGTTTGACATGATGGTAACAGTCCCGGCGTGGGCTTTCGGTTGTCTGTACATTTCTGTTTTTACAGTGTAAAGACTTTCATGTTTACTATGAATTTGTCTTAGAACTTACTACAAAACATAATGATCTCTGTAAAAAAACAAATAAATTATCATAGTAATAAAGAATAATGCTGGCATTGTTAGTGTAGTTAGTGCCACTCATAGAGTCCTGTGGGGAAAGTCAGACTACTCTTCACTTAAAAAACAGTGAAAAAAACAGGAGTTTCCTTGAACTGGACCTCAAAAAATGATTCAAAGATACAAAGAAATTGAGACTTTAATAAAGATGCAAGACCTTTTAGACCATCAAAACCGTCCCCATCAGATAAACAGCACATCTTTGAGAGAGAGAAGAAAATCAAGCTGCTTCAGATCGGAAAACATCCATCCTTCCACTGTGAGAAGACGACTCAGCGCTATGGGTCTGAAAGGATGTGTTCAAGAAGCCTCACTGAGAAAAGGAGACGGACACATCAAACAAAAAAGCTGAACAATGGACTGACCACCCCAGAGTCCAGACCTCAACATCACTAAATGTGTTTGGGATTACTTGGATTGTGAGAAGCAGAAAATATATTCAACTTCGAAAACTGAAATTTGGAGGTGTGAAAACTCTGCAGATGCTTCTCTAAAACTGGAAGAGAGTCTCCTGGAAATAATGGATGCTATGGTGAAGAGTGGATACGTTAAATACTGAGAATGTGATATTACATTTAATTGTTGGCGCTTCTGTGTACTTTTATGGTAAATATGTTCTCTATTTTTTTCCTAAAGCTGAAAAATGATAAAACTGAAGTATAGTCTCTGACGTCTGCAGGATGTGCTATTTTTGTCTGTCATTTTATGACACTCTAAAGGTGTTTTTTGGTCTTTGTGGTGTATTGGAAATGACTTGCACATCAGAGGTGGTTTGTTTTTAGAGCGCCTATCAGCATATGTGTGGCAAATCACCTTCATTGGAACATGAGCGTTCCACGGAACTAAGCTCTGAGTGAACTTCCCTTTCAGTAACACTCAGCTGGACTCTTCTAAGAATGATGGTGACTGATCTACCAGATGTGCTTGACACATCTTTGACCATTCTCTAATTCAGTCAGTTACCATCTTAGGTCTGTTTTCACAGAATTCCTACAGACAGTGTTTGTGACGATAGCTTTCATAAATGCAGGAGGAATCTGAGTTAAAATCATCTTACTCTGCTTTCAAGTAGTGTCAATTTTATCGAGGAATACATAAACACCCTTCGAGGCCAGATGATGAAGTCTGGTGAACAGTAATTCTCAAAGTCAAAGTCAGAATGTTCTTCATAGTGGAGGAAAGAAGCAAACAGTTCCTCAAAGCAATCAAATAACACTGTAGCGATTAGAGGTGGGGGAAAAAATCTAAATTTTAATTTATAACGTAATGTTGACGGAACGCAAAAGGCGGAACTTGGAAGTGAGGATGTGCAGCGCCCGGACAGTCTGTGGTGGCACATAACAAAAACACTACTGGATGAGCGAGAAATCCGACCGGCTCCCTCTGCATTAAAAGCTAGGTTAGGTCAGGAGTCACAACCCAAATGTTAAGAAGAGCCACAACATTTAATGTCCAGTATGTCTCAGTGTGTGATAATGTCCTAGTATAGGTTAAAAAATATAAACGAAAACGACTTACTCTGTTCTGCTTTAAGCTTAAGCTACAGCCGCTTTCCTCCCATCTCCGCCAGAAAACTTTTCTTCAAAAGTAGAAGTTTCTTGTAAAATGTCTCTCAACGTTTGACTGTTTTATGAAGCTGAAGTCGTTTCTCATTCTCCAGCATTTTGTTCGAATTTTTTCGTTCCACCTTAAATTCTTCCTGAGGCGCCAGAACATAAATGCGTCACCCTTTAAGGTGGAACGGGAAAATTCGAAAGAGAATCTGACTTTAGCTTCGCAACTTTTTAGTGTGTGACAGTCTCTCGTCGCAGATTTACCATGCTAAAAAACCAACTGCGCTGCTTATAACTGCGAATAAGTCCATTCATCTCCAAATGTTCGTCTTAAATCTCTCTCTTTGCCTTTTCATTAGCTACTAACTAGGCGAAACTCTCTGCGTTGCTATGTGACCTGCAGTCTGCACACCAACCTTCAGGGTTATAGGGTGGTGAATTAGCAGCGTTTAAGACCATCTACTGTTAAAACAGCGTTAGAACCTGGACAAGGGCCAGGTTGTGTTACACTAAACTAAAATATTTTGGAAACGACAAACATTAGAAACCATATTACATGTTTCCACCCGTTTTCCGTCCGGTTGTAGTTGCTGCCAACCAGAGGACCATTGAGCAAGCGATGTCAAAACTTCCACCCAACTTGGAAGCAAATTACAAACTCTATCGCAACTTTTATTGCCAAGGATTTGTGTCTGTTCTCAGTCGTTGAGATCCAGGGTTTCGCGCTATGTTGCACACTTTGGAGCCGAGATACAGCGACCCGTCTCGAAGATATTTTACTGACACAGCGACCCCCCCCTGCCACCTCCCCCACACTCTCTACAACGAGACCAAACCCAAAGTTATGGAATCACTGAATAAAACGGGTAGGACAGCTGTAATGTGATTCGTGGACACCCAATGCCACAGATTTTATGTCACAGTAACTGTGCATTTTATCGCAGATGAGTGGCAGCAGCGTCGTGTGTGCTCCAAACAAAAGCAGCGAATGAGAGACTTCCAGTTCACTTGCCACATCACTTCCATTTGATTTATTAATAAAAGATATTAGTAAATTCATTATAGATCATTACAAATACTTTGCTTTAAAAGTACCAAGTCCTCACACAGAGAAAAAAGAAATCCTGTACAGAAAAAAAGATGCACCAGGATGCATCGATAATCGTTTTATAATCGTATCACAGCCTCTGAATCTTAATCGAATCGGATTGTGAGGTACCCCTAGTACCAATAGTAATCAATGCTAATGGCAAAGTCACTTTTGAGGATTCACAATTAACACAATTTATTCACATTTACATTTGTGTTAAGCAATAAATACCAGCTGATAACTAGATAATGATCTACAACTGTTTCACAACCTTCTTTTATGTACTTCCCAAGTGAAAAGTTGAGTGAACAAGTTCCTTCATGAAGAAAACGCCCTAATTTGAAACTGCACAGTCCAAAAAGCAACTAAGCAACGTCTTCCATAAATACAACATTAGCAAATTGCTTCTGCAATATAACCGTCTTGTAATTAACAGAGCTGCTGGACCAGATATTCCTGATTGTCAACAAAGTGCAAAGAAGTCCAATGACTCAGCTGGTGTAACCTTCACCTACAGTCCTTTGTGAACAGTTTTGAGAACCATTTTAAAAATTGGGAAAATAACCTTAAGATTCTGCACGACTAGAGTTTGTGATGGAGTCTTAGGCCCAGTTTCTTATTTTTACCCCTGCTCCTTGTTTCGAGTGTCACCTTGCCCCTTGAAACTGAGTTGCAAGGTGCAGTGGTTGAAATCTTCCCTTACGAAATGGAACAACTCTCAAATAAAAAACGTTACTTCATTAACAGGCTACTAGCGCTGCTCTGTAGTCCTACCTGCCCTGCCAGTCTGCAGTGACAGCAGAGGAGGGTAAAGTTCAGGAACCTCACTGCTGGGCCTTAGTTACATTTAGGGCATCATATGCCTTAAAAGGAAGGGGTTCCACCTTTAGTAGAGCAGCAGTTACATTCTGGTGCTTCCGGCATCAGAACTGCTGCACTATTTAAGGTGGAACGGGAAATTTAGCTAGCTAGCTACTAAGACATTAGCAATTGTTCATGCTTGTTATGAAGAAAATGACCATAATACATTATTAAACTAAAATAACACCTGGTTATTATAATTTTTTAACAGAGAAAATTCTCACATTTGTGGGTGTCTTTGGTCGCTTGTGCAGCCATCTTGCCAGTTTTTTTTTCCCCTATAACACTCTGTTTAGAGTGAGCCTCTGAAAACACTCCATTTGGAGAGCCATGTAGCCCTAACACTTCACCCTCTAGCTGAATTAAAATCGGGACACCCTACCCATGAACATGCAAAATGGAGGGCAAAGGGTTAAGTGGTAGAGGCGAGGGGTGAAATGTGATTGGGCCTTAGTTTGAATCTAATGTTTTTAAATGTAAGTTATATAAGCATGTTGCCAGGGGTGAAAATGGGCTGGAACGCATCAGAACCCTATTCCAGGAGTTAACAGACGGGATGGAACGGCATTCCAGCTCACATTTTGAGAATCTTGGTAACTATTTTTTTATAGGGAAACCATGTATAGTTGTTCAACTTTGTTCTTAAGTGTGTATGAAGCGAAGTGTCTGTTAAATGGACCTCAGGTTCAGTCTACAGCCCATTCAGCCAATGGAAAGTCACCGTGCTGCGGCAGGGTTCACCCACCCAGTCTCCAGGGTATGTGTTTGGAATATGAAAGTAGCCAAAAACTCCACAATCAGTAAGGAAGTATGAGTCCAGTGGAAGTCGATTACTAATACTAAGCTAACGAGCCTGTTAATGTCAGCCATTCATTATGAGCTCGCTGTAGGCCTGGACTGCCCATCTGGAGGACCAGAAAAAATTGAGTTAACCATGTAAATAAGTACAATATCCATGTGATAAAAACAGATTTAGATCCTAATGGATCATCACAATGAACAAAAAATGTTCCCATTGTTTTTAACAAAGTGCAACAATTTTGCTTTGGGTATAAAATGGTTTTTAAAGTATAGTTTGTGCATTTTACTAAGAATTTTGCACCAAAAAACTTCCATATACCACCTTCTTGTTTCTACATTCCTCCTCCATTTTAACAGCGCCACCTACCATTTATGAGCACTTTGTAGTTCTACAATTACAGACTGTAGTCCATCTGTTTCTCTGCATACTTTGTTAGCGCCCTTTCACAAAGTTTTTCTACAAAGTGCACCTATATAGTAAGTGGAGCTGATAAAATGGACAATGAGTGTAGAAACAAGGAGGTTTCAGTGTCTATACTATATCATCTCTGCTGCAGAGACTGATTCTCTGTGCTACTATTAAACATTACCATAAAGTATGGAACATTTCTCTTTCTAACACTTCTTATTTGTTAAAATGTCTCGAATTGCAATGTATGAGAGAATATAAATGATTAATGTGTGCTCGTAGTCTGTGGCTGGTTAATTTCAACATTCGATGGAATGTAAAAACCGCTAGAATGTCTGAGAAGCTTGAGAGAAGCGGGTTTATAGCCTGAGTCAGCGAAGTATTACAAAATATGGGACATTTTGATTAAACTGGCTCCTAATTGAACCTCTACTGGAACTCTACTGAGGCAAGTCACTGTTGAAATTGCACTTGAAATGAAGGACATTGGCACTATATACACAAAGAGACAGGGCTGAGGACATGAAGACAGATGATTAAGATGTAAATGTGGAAATGTCCAGTAACACGTTCTTTTGAAGACTACCCACATAGAGACTTCGTAACACATGACAAGCATTACAACATATTTATAAAGCGTATTAATGATATTGTGTTGACATAAGGGGCCTGAAAGTACCCCTACAGTCATAATCCATAAAAATGTTTGTTGAATAATCAGTTGTTATTAGAGCTAATAAATGGTCTCTAGGGCTCTGTTTTGTAAGTTTCATTACTTGGGAATGATACTTCATAACAGTGTTATGAATGTCTTTTGCTCTACTATGTCAATATGATGTCAAAAAACATATGTTCACCTGCAATTACTGGCATAAGATGTTTATACAACTATTGCTGTATGAATGTTATTCAATGCTTATACATGTGTTATGAAGTCACTATGTAGGTGCCCTTCA